CCTCGTCCTCCTCTCTTCTGCTACCTCATATCTGAACACCCTCCCCCAATCGCTGTCTAACAGCTGCTACTGTGCCCCAAAAGCCGACTATGCAAAATCGACAAGTGCCACAATTTTTTATGCAAAATAATCCTTTGCCTGGGTCCATTGATGAATTATAGCAAATTAATTTTACACTAAAAAGCGACAAAGCTAGGCACAATGACAGCCTACCATACACCACCCCATAACCCCACCACCCACCTTATGGTACTCTTATCAAAGCATTTGCATGGCTGACGTTGCCTAGGCAAACAGTTTAACCATATCAAATTCAAATTCGCATAAATTTTGGTAGCATCGCAGGTTGGGGAAATGTATAAAAATCGATTCCCAGCAGGAAGTGCCAGAGCTGCTTCATTTTTTTGCCTCTCATTTTTGTGGGGCGGCGCAGATGAGTTGTGGGCTTCTTAACCAATAGAGAGAGAAAAAAAACAACTCAAACCAAAGTCAAATCGATTATTATTTTATCGTCTGGCTGGTATGGGCACTGTTAGCGACACACGTTCGCTGGAGGGTTGTAAAAATAAATTTAAATGTACCAGCAAAATGTATCAAAAATTGAATATTCGGTTTAGTCTTTTTCGCTCTGCAAAATGTAGTATGTATGTCGAATTTGTACGTGACTGTTGAATGTTAGAGCCCTTGCGTTTATTGAGTGTAAATCCTTGTTGTTGATAAATGGAAGAATAGATGGAGTTATTGTCGATGAAATGTGATGGAAACTACATAGAAAGATGAAGAACTTTGAACTCCAATTGAAATACTTCGATAAAGAACCAAACTTGGAAATAAGGCAATCAAAATAATAATCGAAAGCAATTTAATTTGGTTTTTTTGTTTCCGAAATTTAGTTTATTATAAAATAAAAAATATATATTTATATATATCTTATTTGTGGGTCACACATTCATCCAAAACGAGACCTGTTGAAACAGTATATTGAATAAAGGATAGTGCGGTTAGAATGATTGTCAAAAAGTAATTAAAAGCAAATTCTCGATCACAGGTGGTATCCAAAATGATCACATTTTGCAACGGCTCCAGTTTCTGGTGCACAATCAGGGATGTGTGCTAAAATCAATCGAAAATATGAAACAACTATTGTATTGAATAAATTCATCAACCCACCTCATTGTTGAGCACCTTCAGTGTATAATCATGTGGATAAGCTTTGCGGACATACAAAAACATTTATGAGTACAATCTGCTGTTGTAGTGCCAACTCCTCGCTGCGTAATCGATCCGTACACAGGCCAATTAAAAAAACGTTGATTATTGGTATCATGGTAGGACCAAGACAACCGTCTGATATGATATACACTTTATTCTCAATCTCATCCACCGCAAAGACAATGCACTCAATTAACAGAGTCATGTTGAAAATACTGGTGAATATTGCCAAGTAGATCGCTGAGGGTAGCCAGGCGACATTCTTCTTAATACATTGATGTAGATTATTGATACGCAAATGGAGCTTGAACAGCGACAAGAGCCGGCGGTGATAGCGACCAGATATTAAACGTTGACTCTGATGATACTCGATAAACCGTTGTAGGAAGTAGGCCAAATTGCGATACCAATTTTGTAAAATCATCTGGTAGATAAAATACGCTAGACTGCAATACTCTAAGAGCACCCAATAGAAGAAGTTCATCCAGAGAAAATAGGGTTTGTGCCACATCGACTCCATCATTATGTATACCAAAAGCAGCTTCACGTTGTAAACGCAAAGGAGGGACAATTCGCAGTGATAGATCATACCAAACTTGCTCTCAATGGTCCGTGTAATGTAAAAGATCTCGTTCACCACATGCATAATCAATTGGCGATCCTCCTGCGAATGCAAAAATATTATAATGCGCCGCATCACGTACATAATAAAGCCTTGGATGACGATGCTAATCAAAAAGTTCTGTCCGGTACTGCCCTCGACGCGAAAGAAATATATCCATAGGACAAGACCGAGAACAAAATAATTCACCGAATCGCGTAGGAATATTAAAAACTTAACAATCACAATCAACTTGGAGGCGATGGGATGATACTGTGTCTGCTCCAATCGCTTGTACTGTAAGTTGTAGCGCAATTTGAAAAAATGACAACAACGCGCGATGCCGTAGAGCAACCAGGCGTTACACTGGAAAAAATGGCGATAGATTTGCTGGGCCAGCCCACCGCGAAGCAGTCGGATGTCCTCTGTATTCCACATGACGGCAAGCGAATGAATGAAGGCCAGCAATAATACAGTGCCTGTGGTCAGCATGTTTGAGTTTTTGTTATTTATGCGCTGGCCATTAGCAAGCGAATTAATCGAAAAGACCCAGGCACAACATGAAATATATCATTCGAATGAATAAATCAATATTGAGTGGAATAGATACATGTGGATGCTTCTAATGATGTACAAAGTTACGAATGTTGTAACGTGCTTTATTTTAGAGTACTCCTTAAGGCAGCTCTTTGTTAAACCACTTCTGCTTTAGTTTCCTTTCTTCAATGGAAAAATACGACGAGTTACATTCATAGTTTGGCTGAAAAAAACCCCCAAAAGGATTTTCATGGCAAGTGAACCGCATACACATGAAAACATAAGTGAGGGACGGTTCAATGTACCAAAATTAGAGGCAGAGCACAAAACAGACAGACTGAGAGACAGACAGACAGGCAGACAGATAGTGAGATAGTGAGACGAGCATCCTAGCCGTGTAAAATACTTGGCAATGCTATTTCCCCAATGGAAATGCGAGTGCCGGAAAATGCAACTCTGACGGTGCTGCGCTGTTGATGCATATAAAAAAGGGCACTGAGCCGTTGCCTAGACAATAACAAAAGGACATACACACAAACATGCACACTCACACACACACACACACACACTCACACACACAGACAATCATACAAGGCACACCCACTCGAACGAACGCAATCCCATCCTTTCTAAGCCGACTGCCTCATTACGCACGGTACGGGAAAAATCGTAAAAATATAAATTATGTACATATACATTTAATATATATATATATATGTATATATATATATATACGGACTGTAGTACTTATTTCAACGACGGCGCTTTCGTATTCATATGTATATGAAAAATACTTCTCAAAATGCTCATGTTTCAATGAAATGAAAAACCTTAATGAATCCCACAACCGACACACACTTCATCCGGCGAAGGCTTAGAGTGTTTGGCTGTCTGGTGGCGACTTGGCACTTGAACACCCTGTAATGCAATGCAAGAGGTGTTTTTTTTTGTTATATATATAAAGGTTTAAGTTTAGGCTGGATTTGAAGTAGCTTTTCATTCAAATAAATAAGTTTTAATGCCAATTATTAGATTAAAATTTGGAAAGTTTTAAATGATTTTATATTTGCCTAAAATACCTGACGATTCTGTTTTAATCTAATTTCAATATTCATGTATTTCTTACTGTAGTCGATTAAAAAAGGTATGCTGCAGTCGAGTATTCACAATTGCTACAGTCTCCCTTGTTATTTATGTATCAATTAAAGCACATTTCCACTCTGCCAGCCTGCTAAAGTGCATGACAACTTTTTGGGAGTTGCATTTTGAAAATTTGCTTCGCTGACAGCTGTTTTGTGTCCCGTGGACGAGGAACACGAGAACGTCAGAGAGATTGCATTTGGTTAGCGAACAACCCCCGTGTTAAAGGGAAGGGGAATGCCATCTGGCTTAAACTCTGCATTCAACGTCAAATGAATTACACGGGCTTGTGTGGGTTGCGTTGGGTGATTAAATGTTTTGAACCACCCACCCCTTTGTCAGGGAATTCATTCAGATTCAGATTCAGATTCTCTTTTAGTCTTACCGCAATATGGCTTCCCCCACCTTCCTCTCCGCCCAATTCATTGTAACGTTTTCGCAATTATATCGCGCTTTCCAGAATTAGGGTTGTCGTAGTCGCAGCTCTTAGCCCTTAGCTCCCAGTCGCTCTCAGAGGCTTCACTGTGGTGCTGCTGCTGAGTCTGTTTGTGAAATGTTGTAAGCATTTCTCAAGTGTTCAAGCATAGACAATGGTCTTTAAACAACAATGGAACAGACGACGTTGCCAAATTGTTGAAAGTAGGCTAATAACTGCGGGTAAAACATTGCATGAAAAGCGAGCTTTGTAAATGTAGACTGTACATTTGGGGAATAATAAAAAGTATATTTATATCATGAAGTTTACATTAAAACTCTGGTATGTTTCTCAAATATTTTTGTTTTTTTACGTTTTATTATGATCTTACTTTTTAGTTGCTTGCTGCTGATCGACTTCTTAAAATTCCTAATGCTCGCTCTTGTCCTACAGCTACTCATATAACTTGAGTAATAACAAAAGCATAAATATTTACAACATTATTTATATTTTTGTTTATTATCCCAGTAACAACGTAAACCACTAATAATTCTTACTTCCACTATTAGTTTTAGTTTGCAGATTTTGCAGAAATGGCAAATTATTATTTGTGGACAAAATACAATTGATTAAATCAAAGGTGGGCGAAGCTTCATATCTGTGTAAATAAATATTTGAGAATTATTTACACAATCCTATTTATACGCCATAATCATCGACTTGATCGATCTTGATATTTTTTCTAGACCAAAGGAATTTGTTTGCGTTTTGGCTCAAGTTTTTGCTTTTGAGTTTCCTGCAAAGAAAGCATCGTTAAAGTTTGCAATACATATCGTGTTACTTTTTAAGATACATCCGTAAAAAGCAATCACCGAAAAAACATGTAGCAAAAGTGAGCTACAAGGCTAATTTAAAATCAAGTCATGACCTTCATTACCCACACAGCAGAAATGCCAAAAGACAGCCAATATATACATAACATATAGAATTTGTGGAAAAATAGCTGCCGGCTATTTGTGGAAAATCAGCAGCAGGCAACACGCAGACCAACAAAAACAAGAATTTTACACAATTTAGAACACAACGGAGAGGAGGTAAGAATAAAAGATATGGTTTATTAAATATTGCAAGCCTGCAGCAATGTTCAAAGCAAGCACACATGCCAAGTGTGGAGCTGCTTTTCATGTGGTCTTGCTTGCTACGTGGCGTATGAGTAATTGAATTTAAAGCGCTGCAACATTGATAAAATATATAAATCTGCTAATGAGTTTGCGGCAGTCAGTTGCGAAATACTTATTCTGCCACAGTATCGGCAGTATCAAATCGCCTGCCACTTGAGACAGTCTAAGAGGAATTTTAAGCGAGCAAAAAGCATTTTTTTATTGCTCGCGTCTTGAACTTTATCGCACACACTCAAAGGATCAATGACAGGCGATTCTAATGCTGCCCTTGTTGTTGCCTTGCTATTAAAGTGGCTATAGAGCTTTCAGGCTGGATATTATACCCAATATCTGTTTGTGAATCCAAATCCAAATCATCATCCTGATAGTTGTACTCAGTCACAGGCAGTACTTCCAGCCATTTCGCTATCTTATAAAGCATCCAAGTTACGATGCCCATTAGCCAGCCACAGAGTGCTCCAAAGGCAATGCAAGTTGCCGTCTTGATCAGCAGGCCATAATCGGAGTGTAAATGATAATTGAATATGTTCAATTGCTTTTGCAAATATTCCTGAAACTCCATGAGAATGCGCAATTTGTATAATTTAATTTTTTTTTCAAATAGAAAATGTTCGAACTGATTCTTAAATAAAATGAAATGTCTTCGAATTTCAAATGCCAACTGATTTTCGAGTTAAAATAAATACCTTCGATTTTTAAGTCATATTGGAAATCAATCGTCAAAATATTTTTTGAAATCTATATCGAAACTGTAACAAAATGATGTTAAATCCGATTGAAATCGTTTGCTTCTATGTGGCTCAACCGATTATAGACTTCTTGGCATATTTGCTGAATGATGTGCACTATCTGGTGTTTCTAGCCGCGATTTGTATGATTGGAGTATTCTTTGGGATTGGCATGGGCATCGTATCCGTTATATGGTATAAGTATGGAAACGTGAAAAAAATTGAAAAGGAACAATATGATGGGCCCGAATATGAAGGCTACTCGACAAATGGCAAGGAGAAGAATGAATAGAATACTTTTGTTGAAGATTAAAATAAGTTTATTGAGCCTCACGAGTTAACTCAACTCTGTATGAAATTTAGAAAATATTACAAAATATTGTGACAAAGCTCTTTCCAAACATCCAAACTTTAATTACTAACTTCTAGGGACGTTGTATATATTACGTATATATAACTACGAATATATGTTGGGGTGGACGGGCACTTTCAATGACAGCTCTGTTGTGCATTTCCGTTACAGGGCATCAAAACGCAGTAGCCAAATGGACTCAAATTATTCGTTAAGCACATTTTAATTTCCCTCAGGATACGACGACTTAATATGCAGTCAGACGACGAAAAGCATAAAACTAAATTTAAGCAAAAATTTCAGCTCTGTTCGCTCACCCAAAAGCTGCCATTTTGCCATTTTACCAAAAAAATAAAATAAAATAAAAAAAAAGCACAAAAAAGAGAAACGGGAGTAGAGCCAGGAAAGAAAATGAAGGAAAGTTAAGCAGCGAGCAGGCTGAGTCAAAGGACAACGTCTAAGTGGCATGCAGTTGGCCCATGGCATAAAGACAATTTAGAGGCAACCAGTTCATAAACAGGACGCCCGATGAAATGAAAAACGACGTCGAGAAACCAAAAACCGTGCGAAATAAAATTTATTTTGGTAAGAAAATTGCGTGACACTAGAGCATGGGTCGCTGTAAATGGCACTGAGCCAATGGCATCCACAAGTATATTAAAATGTTGCCCGCCTAGTAAGACATCCGCTGAGAGATAGTAAGGAACGGGTCGTCGGCGTTGGTCTGAGAATAAAGGAAATGATTGGTTTTGGGCGACATTTACGTTGATGTCGTCTGGCCCAGCGAAGCAACAAATAGCCTCGTTCTGGAAACTGTTGCAAGAACAACAAATGGCTAAAGTTTCAGCGACTCGGCAAACTTTGCAAAGCAATGCAAAAACGCAACTTCAAAAACAACAACAACAAGAACAGTAAGCAAAATTAAGTTTCTGCGCCGCTGCGTTGGCAAAGGAAAGGACGCCAAAGTCGACGTCGTCGTCGTCGGCGTCATCGCCATCGTTGCCGCCAGACGCGGTCAAATTAAAAGCGCATTGCAAACAAAGTAAGCATTGTAAATACAAATAGATGTACGCCGTGGAAATACTCTGTAAATTTACAGAAGGTTTTACACATTTGCCTTTTCGTTTGAGATATGTCTCACAAATTAGATCATGCTAATAGTTCAAGGCTTAACCATTTTAAAATTATTATTTTATTGAAAGTTTTGTAAAATTTTTTGATTTAATTTTTAGCATACAGTAAAGATCATAATACATAATAATCGTCTAAAAGCAAACTAAAGTTTCTAAATGAAGGGCATTTCAAGTTTAATATTGAGATTATCAATATATTTAATTCAAATTGAATGAGGAGTTTATATTCAGTGCCAAAAGTAAATTACAAATGGATTAATTTTACTATATATTTATTTATAAAATTGAATAGTGTAGTTTGAGTAACCGAACCTCCAATACAAATATTTTATTCGAACCTGCTATCCACTAAGTGTAGTATACCCATTACATACAGCCTATTAAGAGCATCAAAAGAAACGCAGCCAAGTCCTTTTTGGCAGGAGTAATGCAAAGCGGCGACGACGCAATGCCGACAACGAAAAGCGGCTGCCCTTTTTATTGCATACTCTTAGGCCGCAGGTGCTGGGCCCAGACTGGGCTGGTTCTTGTTCCTGGGTCCTGCCGCAACTGTAACAGTATTTGCTCTATTTGTTGACATCGTCTACAATCGTAAAACGTTGTACTCACTCGTCCCGCTCGATCCCATCAATGTTGCCAACTTGACGGTTTTATTGCTTTTACTCCCACTCCCCTTATCTCTGCCGAAGTCATACACTGCGTATGCGTGTTTTTCTTTCCCTATTTTATTTATGTGTGTATGCACGCCTTTGCATTAATTTCCAAAATATTTTCGCAGTTTTGTTGCCTTTTGTGTATTGCTTTTGACTTGGCGATGGCAAATTTATTTATAGGCTGCGATAGGCATCTCATTGTTGTGCTTTGTCATTGTAATTGTTTGTCATTGTTGTTGCTGTGCCGTGCAAATGCACGGGGGTTGTTTCTGCACCAGAAGGCCTTTTTATGGGACGGAACACCCATTAAGACACTTCCATTGAAACGAATATTAGTTTGATAGCAATGAAGACTGAGTTGTTTATCTTTCATATCTAAAGCAATCGTTTGTTTATTCAAATCTACTCTTACATATATATATATATATCCAAAGTAGATCTGCGTATCTAAACTATATCTCTGTATGCATTTTGAGAAAGTAAAGACATGAATATTGTGACAATAATTACATTTTTGTAAGCTCATTAATATAGAGTTCTGTAAATTCTGGAAACATATATCCATTGATTATTCATTTCTATCTATCGAGGAAAATTTTCAACTTCACTGTTAATTGCATATATATTGCCAATTAGCTAAGCCATTTCGATTAATTCGGTTGCTAATGGCCAACACATAAATAACAGGAATCGATCAAACTGACCATATGCCCATCACTGATGGCTTCCATTCATTCATCTGACATGGAATGTGGAGGAGGACATCCGCTTGCTTCGTTGTTGGCCTGCCCCGCCGATTTTTTCAGTGTATTGCCTATTAATATTATTGTTGGTAAGGAAATGTGAGTAAGGGAATGTTTTTTTGTGTCAGTCTTTTACTATTGCTTACTTTTGCATGGACATGATACCTCTTGACAGCTCTTAATTCTGTCTTAAACAATATGGAAAAGCTCGAAATCGTAATTTTCCTTATTTTAATTTTTTTTTTATATCGATTTGATTCTCTTTCGGTCATCAGACAAGTGAGAACGTTGCAATTGGACTTTACCGACCGCATATTACTCTGATATCTCAGCTGAAACAGGTGGTAACGAAACTTCTTCAGAATTTTGGGTGTAGGGAAGGCAGAGACTCTTCGCTTAAAAGTTTCACAAGAGAAGGTAAGTAAGATCGCTCGATATATACTTATTATCGATTTGTCATTGGTTGAGTTTGACGCACACATAAGCTGCAAAACAGTATACCCTTTAAATATGATATCAGAGTATAAAAATGATAGGCAGTCAACAACATGGCAGTCGTTGTCGCCGCATTTCTGCCACCAACAACGCAATCCATCTCAATCACAAAGCCAACGCGACCAGACAGAGGAGTATGCAGTCAATCACACACTCACACTCACAAACAAGCATACCACAGCACACACATACAATCTGTGGAACTCAAATATAAAGTCATTCAGGCAGTCAGTCAGTCAGTCAGTCAGTCAGTCCGTTCGGCTGTCATTCAGCAATAACACCACAAACCGAAAATGCCTCAACTTCAATGCAAGCCGGCAGGCGATCTGCACAGTCGAGCAGTCCATGCTCAGACCCAGACCAAGAACCAAAGTCAGTAGCAGGAACAGAAACGGGGACGCAGTTCCCAGACGTCGGCTTACCAACCACATTTGTCATTTAAGCTCAACCAAATGTAATATGAAAATCGGCATGAGTGAAAATGTCAACGTGCATTGCGGCAGCCCAGAGATTTGGGAGGGTGGGTGGGTCGGCGACTGGTGCAATGGGTTGGATTGTGGGTGGTCTTGGTGGTTTCGCGACCTCGTCGCAATGTTGTGGAATTTCCTGTCAAGCTAATTTCCTTTGGGTGCAACGTTGGTTGCCATTTGGTTGGTTTCGCTGACTGAATGCCAGCTTGGCTTATGCATTCATTCGTTGGCAGCTCGTTGAATCAATTCACCTGCATGCATAAAATATTTTCGTTGCAAAAAAAATAAAAATATTCAAACATTGCATATTTTATAGTTTATTGACTGCTGCTGTTGCTGTGTGTGTGTTTTTGTTGTTTGGTGCACCCCACCCACTTTTTACTTGTCAACGGGCGTGTCCATTGTTGTTTTGCCTCATGTTGTTGCTGTTGTTGTTAATGTTGCTGTTCTTGACTGCCCTTTTGGCAATTTACATTGTGCAGTTGACACAAAATGAGCGCCATGTAGGTCGTCCCAGTTGGATACACCCCTCCCATCAAACAGCCCCTAACCAACTTCTCTTAACTCCACTGCTATTTACCACCTTGACTTGTTTGCCAATTGCAGCAGTAACAGCAGCATTTTTCAGAGCTACGTGTCGCCACATATGGGAATTGTTTTGTGTGTTGTGCACGTATATACAAATATATACAAATATATATATTTATATATATCATATATTTTGAGGGCGTAAGAGTGGTGCAATGTACATGCACTGCGTTCCTGGAATGTGTTATTAAAATTTATGTGCGAAAAGGTGTCGAAATACGGGCCAACAACAACAGCAACAGCAACGGACATGGGACCCGAGTCCCGAACCCCAAAAACGACCCACATACAACACGGCCAACGAAATATTTTCATACTCAGACAAACACATATATATATATATATATGTATACATATTATTTTCAACCATATGTTGAATATGAATATGTTGACAATGAAGAACATGCAGGTTGGTTATGTGAAATGTTCCCAGTTGTAGTGGGAAACAAAAAGAATTAAAGCAGAGTATATGTATTTATTTTAAGGTCTGTGTTAGTTCGAATGGAATGCAGTGAAGCTGCATTTATTACAAAAAAAATTTAATTGATATTCTATTTTAATTCTATTTTATTTTTTAAGTCATTATTGTTTTTTTTTTTAATCATATTTGCAATTTTATTATGACTTTACATTGTATACATTCATATTTGTATACCCTGATTTTATATTACAGATATACAAAAAACAAAAACTACTATTATTTTTTCTGTGACGAGGATTAATTTAATCAAACCCATAGCTCCTTCTAAAATGTGAGCCACAGTTATGGTTCAACTTTAGGAACCCTAATTGCCTGTTTCCCATCAAGGTAGATCACAGTACACAGTACAGTAGGCCACTGTTTGAACGTATCACGCAGAGTAAGAAGCAAGCAAATATGTGTACTTGCAAGCCAAATATTGCTCATACGTAGAGTTGGTCCAAGGTTTTCTGTCATGCAATGTGAGCCCAGAAGGGCTGCCTTCGAAACACCAAGGCTAC